ATGTGCCCGTGTCCATGTGTCCCTGTGTGTCCCCAGTGTCCCTGTGTCCCCATTGTCCCTGTCTGTCCTCTGTGTCCCTGTCTATGTGCATGTCCCTGTGTGTCCCTGTCTGTCCCCGCTGTCCCCGTGTGTCCCTCACCGGCCGATGATGCTCTTGCTCTGCAAGTCCCCGTGTGCTCCTGTATGTCCCTGTACCCTCATGTCCCTGTGTGTCCCCGCTGTCCCCGCTGTCCTGTGTGTCCCCATGTACCTGTGTGTCCCCACGCCCCCATTGTCCCTGTCTGCCCCCATTGTCCCTGTGTGTCCCTGTACCCCCATATCCCTGTCTGTCCCCATGTCCCCTGTGTGTCCCCATGTCCCCTCAATGTCCCCAGGCTCTCCCTGCTGTCCCTGTGTGTTCCTCACCTTCCAATGATGCTCTTGATCTGCGAGTCCCTGTGTGCTCCTGTCCCTTTGTGTACCCAATGTCCCCGTGTACCCTGTCTGTCCCCATGTCCCCCATCTGTCCCCGTGTCCCCAGGGTGTCCTTGCTGTTCCTATGTGTCCCTCATCTGCCAATGATGCTCTTGATCTGCGAGTCCCCGTGTGTCCTCATGTCCCTTTGTGTACCCAATGTCACCATGTCCCCTGTCTCTCCCCTTGATGTCCCCGTGTCCCCAGGCTGTCCCCGCTGTCCCCATGTGTCCCTCACCTGCTGATGATGCTCTTGATCTGTGAGTCCCTGTGTGCCCCTGTCCCTTTGTGTCCCTGTCTGTCCCCATGTCCCCATGTCTCTGTCTGTCCCCGTGTCCCCAGGGTGTCCCCGCTGTCCCCGTGTGTCCCTCACCTGCTGATGATGCTCTTGATCTGCGAGTCCCCGTGTGTCCCTGTGTGTCCCCATGTCCCCCATCTGTCCCCATGTCCCCAGGGTGTCCCCGCTGTCCCCGTGTGTCCCTCACCTGCTGATGATGCTCTTGATCTGCGAGTCCCTGTGTGCCTGTGTCCCTTTGTGTCCCTGTCTGTCCCCATATCCCCATGTCCCTGTGTCCCCGTGTCCCCAGGGTGTCCCCGCTGTCCCCGTGTGTCCCTCACCTGCCGATGATGCTCTTGATCTGCGAGTCCTTCTCCTGCTGCTGCTGCCGGAGCCGTTTCTCGCTGAGCTCCAGGCGCTGCTGGTACTGCAGGAGGATGCGGCTGGTCTGCTCCTCCTGCGTCACCAGGCGCCGCTCGTACTCCTCCAGCTTGCGGTTGGACATGTGCAGCCGCTCCTTCAGCGAGTGGATCTCCTCCTCGTACTCCTTCACCTGCCAAAGGGACACTGCAGGGCCCTGGCCGCACCTGGGCACACCTGGGAACCCCTACACCCCGCTATGGGCACACCTGTCACACCTGGGTACAGCTACAACCCCGCTATGGGCACCCCTGTCACACCT